GGATTTTGGGGTGTGATGTATGCTGTGAGTATGAATATGTGTGTTGCTATATCTATAAAAAGGTAACTGATAAGTGCTGTCGTGTTCCGTGTTGCTGCCGGTGTTTGTGTTTTTGTTGTTGAACGTCATCTTTTTGTAACTGTGTTATAAAATAAAATTAAAAAAAGAAGAAGGAGGAGCTAACAGAAAAAGGCGAGCGGGAAGTGGGATTTATCTGCGATCTCAACCACCGTTTGAGTCATGCAAATGGCCTCTGGGCGCGTGCGTCTTTTATCAGAGTGATGAATATATTGTCGGGGGGGGGCGGTGGATGGAGTTTGCATGCGTTTGCAGGTTCAGAAAAGCAGAGCTGAATTTGGTGAAACAACTCCTGATTAAACGTTGTCCTGGATACGGAGTGAAAGCCATGACTGAGGCAGGTCTGTGAGTCTTTCAGGCAGAGACAAACAAAAAAAGCTAAAGAAAAACTGGGAACTGATCCCGTTTCATGTTTGAAATCTCTCTGGTGCCTTAACAGGAACTCCAGATCTTTAGAGGGTACTTTCCCCTCTTTCAATTTTTTATTATCTATTTCTATTTATTCGATTACCATTAACCCTTTAAAGCCTGATCCAAGAATAAAACAAAACAGAAAATGACTTTTTTTTTGTTTGAATTACTTATTTGGCCTTTTAACAAAATATGTAAAAAGAAAAAACAGAAATACTTTTTTAATATTAATATTTATTACTATGCGATAAGTCAAGATTATTTTTCGTGTAGTCTTCTGCCCCCTGTTATCAGGTGTATCTGATTGTGTACAATAGGATTTTGAGCAAAGTTTTTACCATTGAATTAAGCGAAAGGTGTCAGACGCAAAACATTTCAGAAACCGTACGAATCAGATATGATACGTTTGGCATTACAGGGTTAATTGTTGTTCTGGCGTTTCCTGCCTCCGGTTTCATTCAGAGTTACAGCACAAACACCCCACGAATGTTTGTGAAGGTTCTCAGACCAAGGCCTTCAGACAAAGACACACAGGGAGCCTTTCCAGGCCAAGTTGACTCATCTTTGCTCGGGACTATAAAACTGATCGAGCTGAAGAGGCATTGTTGCAGAGATGCAAAGCCTGGACTGAGGGAATGGGGAATGGGAATGGGGGTGGGAATATGGTGGGAGTGGGGTGGGAGTAGAGTGGGAATGGGGTGGGAATGGGGTAGGAATGGGGTAGGAATGGGGTAGGAATGGGGTGGGAGTGGGGTGGGAATGGGGTGGGAGTAGAGTGGGAATGGGGTAGGAGTAGAGTGGGAATGGGGTGGGAGTGGGGTGGGAATGGGGTGGGAGTGGGGTGGGAATGGGGTGGGAATGGGGCGGGAACACCTGTGACCAGCCTCAGGTTTGTTTCTGGTTCTAGAGTGAACCGTGGCATCCTTTTTCACTTAGCCACGTTTAAAGGTGTTAAACTGTCATCTTATTCATGTGAGAGACACTTTCACCCGCTGTGCAAAGACCTCTGGATCCAATAAATGTTCCCATAAAGCATTTGATGGCTAGTTTGCGTTTCTTATTAAACCAGGACTAATTAGGTCTTAAGTTTCTCATTAAACCGGGACCAATTAAATACAAAAATCAAACACAAGACCTCTCAGGCGTGGCATTGAAAGTAGCATATTCAGCACGTCCGTCATCTTTGGCTCAGAGACAGAAACAATGGCAGTACTTCAAAAACCACTGATGATACCCTTCACACAGCCTCAGCTAATTTCAATCCCCGACAGGATTTGAGTCCTAGAAAAGCAGCGTGATGGCCAGCAGATCCTGGTGAGACGTCATGGAGAATCTATTGACGGAAATACAGCGAACCAATGCAGGAACACCAGATGATGAAGACCTTCTCTAAACCATAGCACATGCTGTCTTACCAAATTCAATGAGAATGGGATGGGATCCCTTTTATTATTTATTGTTGAGGAGTACAGAGCTTAGATCTGGTTGGCAGTGGCAACTTTTGTGACGCACAGTAGACAGTGTTTCTGCGTTATTTTGTGTCTTTAAAGAGGAGCGTCCGTTTGAGGAAAAGTGGAAAATATAGGTTTGTACCAAAATTAAAGCCAGAGGGTTCTGGGTTGGAGTCCCCGGGGGAACCAGGACCAGAGGGTTCTGGGTTGGAGTCCCGGGGGAACCAGGACCTTTCTGGGTGGAGTCTGCATGTTCTCCTGTGTCTGTGGGTTCTCTCCGGGTTCTCCGGCTTCCTCCCACCGTCCAAAAACCTGCATGTTAGGTTGGCTGGACTCCAAACTGCCCTTAGTGTGAGTGTGTGTGGTTGTTGGTCCTTGTGTGTCTCTGTGTGTCCCTGTGATGGACTGGGGACCGTCCAGGGGGACCCCGCCTCTCCCCATTGGCTACTGGGATAGGCTCCAGTCCCCCCACCGACCCCATTAGGGGATAAGTGGTTACGACAATAGATGGATTGATATATCCTTAATTCCAAATCATTCCATCTCAGCAGAACACTTAAATCTTTCAGAAGGATTTCCCCAAAAGGACCACCCCACTTTCATCTTTTGTATCTTTGTGAAAAGCCCCACAATGAGGACGTGCTATCAGACTCCTAAAGTCAGAAACCTTTGGGGCCTCAGTCCATGCAATAAAATGGGTTTACCAGCAGATTCACGAGCTTCAGAGTGCATCACGGGTCTTGCATAAGAGCACCAATTTGAGCACAGATCAACAGTTTTTTTTAATAAACTTTCAGTTTGTCCGTGTTTGAATACGCTGAACTCACTGCTGACTCACCAACAGGTCGGTTATCTCATCTAAACCACATCTAAACGATGACTGTGCAGTGTGAACGTTACGCATGGACTTGCTGATGGTTTATGTTCCGTCACCGGTAATATGTCTGTTTGGGTTTTTTTTTTTTAACCTTTCGACTTTCCACTGAGAAAAACGTTTGCGAGATTGAATAGATTCGGCGTTCCTCTCACGCCTGAATGCTCTGAGTTTTTTCTGTGCTGCCTGAGTAGAAGAATGCGTGTCTCAGAGATCTTGGGTCACCGTGTTCTCTCCTCTGGTAGATAAAGGACATATTAGGCCAATGGGATTGAGACAAATGGAATCCAGGGAAGGAAAAAAGCACTGCAAACTGCAACCTGTTAATGCAAGAAACCGACAAATGAGCACACAGCTTTATTTGTTGGCCTGTGGGTGGTCAGGGTGGTCATTGAGTTTGTATTGACACCTTGAATTTGTTCCAACAATGTCTGTCTTATGTTCAAAATGTTCAATAAACAAAGTTTGAAAAAAAATCAAATGAGCACATAGCTACACGTCGTCGTGTTCTGCAGAATTCAGAAGTTAAACCGGTTAAAAGCGGCGTGACGACGTGGCTACTGAGTCACGGCTGAGAAAACGTGGCTGGTCTTGTTTTAAACAACTTCTTCGGAAAAAAGGGGACCAACGTTCAAAAACTGTCCACCGTTTGCTGATCATTCAGGATCTGGTTTCCCCCTCCTTGGTCTTTCATCCGAAGTATGACGGCTCTTTAAATGTTCGTCCACATTTGAAATCATCTAACTCGGCTTGGCCCAAGGTTTGCTATTAACCATCTTATTTCTGTAACAAAAATAAATCTTAAATAAATAATAAAGCAGTATTGGATGATCTTTGGCAAAGCAAAAGTCTCGGGCAGAGCACTCAGATTACAACTCTGT